TTTGCCCCCAACAGTTGAGGAAAGTCCTTTTCTTCCTAGTTGTTACAGTTTTCGCATCTATCATTGCAGTGGTTTGATTAAAAGTTCAAAATTCAATGTTTAAATTTCAACCCAGCCTTTTGTGTTGACTTCATGGCTCATTTCGTAGCATTTAAGCCTATAATAGGATGCCAAGACCTGTTTTTATTTTTATTTTTTTTCGCCCTGTCGCTTCATATAAAAATCCGAGAACCAACAAATTAAATTGGTGTGGCCTAAATGTACAAAATGTACAAATTGCTGAACTACAAGCTATATAAACACAAAATGCAGGTTAGTCAAAGTTAATGTTATAAAACAGTATATCACTTAAACTATACTCTACCAGCATGAATACTAGTACATGTGTAGTTGTAGTTAATCAATGCAATCAACCTCCAAAAAAAGGTAGATGTGTTTTGGTGAGTTTTGGCCCACCTCTGGAGTCAAGCAGTGACCAAATACTGGGTCACTTGTTCTACTTCTAGCATGTCCGCAGAACGTACTGCACCTGCACAAAACCAGTACATGTACTACATGATTGTATATGCATATGTATATAGTACATACTACATAGCACTTCGGCAGAATGTCTCATATAAGGTCCTATTCACGCATATAAGATTAACATCCCATCTGTAGCTGAACCAAATGAAACAAATACTTATGAATTGTCTGCAACTGGCAAAATTCTCCTGCAACATTGACCAAACATCCAGTGAAAACTGTGAAAAATCAGGGTTTTGCACAGGTGCAGTACGTTCTGCTGACGTGCTGCTTGTTCTGAAAAAGGCTAGGAAATTTATTTTCAGCTTACTGGTAATGTTATTCATCAATACTAGGAAATTGGTTACTCATAATGACATCATGGGCCAGCAAATATAACAGGCACCTGCACTGTTTGATTTGCATTCAGCAAAGAATTGTTAAGTACTGCTCCCATTGAACCGAATACCAGTACACTGACGTAGTAAGGCCACACCAATTTAATTTCTTGGTTAACGGATTTTTCTAGAAAAATAATGGAGCGGGCGGGCCTAGGCATCGTATTATGGCCCAAAATGGTACAATAGGAGCCATGAAGTCAACACACCAGGCTGGTTCAAAATTTAAACAATGAATTTTGAACTTATAATGATACCATTGCATTGAAAGATGGAATAACTGTAACAACTAGGATGAAAAGGTCTGTTTTCAACTGTTCATGGCAAAATATGAGCATTTTGCAGTTGATGCTGGATTTTTATTTTTATTTGCAAATCAGAAAAAAACTAGAGTTCCCCGATCTCATACCTTCGCCAAATGATGTTAATCTTTATGACTGACAAAGTTTAGATTAGATTATTCCCCCCTGATTTAAGAAATAGGAACCTAATTTTCATGAATTATATCATTTTATCATAATCTCAACCAAAAGAGTCTTATATTAACAAAGAATGCATTCTAGCATTTCCTAATAAATTATGCAAATGAGGTCCTGATTTGAATAAATTATGTTTAATGATGTTCACCTCAATTTAACTTTCAAATACCACAAGTATGAAATTCCAGGCAGTTATCATTACATAATTATAAAATTTTCTCATTAATTATGCAAATTAAGTCATTATTAACATAATCAACATCTTCCTGTGTTTCTCTCGTTGTCAATTACCAATGTCACAAGCTTCAATTGTCCTATCATGGAATGCAGCTGATTTCCCCATAAATTATGCAAATTACATCCATATTTGCATAATTGTCACATAACTATATCAAGCATCACGTAAGCTACCTACATACCAAAAATCATGACGATCCGTCGACCGGTTCTTGAGTTATCCCCTTTTGAATATTTTCACGAATTTATCCCTGCAGTTCCAGAGCATGCCGCTAGGGGGCCTAAACTCATGTCACTTCTTCCCCAGCACAAGAGCTACCTACCATCTAAATTTCATCATCATAGCATGTCTAGATCATGAGATATCAAAACCGGAAGTTCAGCTGCAGTACCATAACAAGCCGCTAGGGGGTCCAAAATCTAATCATTTTGAGGTATCATCAAGACCTACCCACCTACCAAGCATCAAGACAATCCATCAAGGCCTTCTCAAGTTATCGTGTTTACAGACAGACAGACAGACAGACAGACACACACACACACACACACACACATACACGAACGCCCCTGAAAACATAACCTTCTTGGCGAAGGTAATTAAGCGGCAAATCCGTTAACCAAGAAATTAAATTGGTGTGGCCTAACCTACATGTACGTACGTACGTACATGGCATGTTTGCATTTAATAGAAGGAACTGATATCGGTGATAATAGGAAAGCTGTCGCCATGTCCTGTGTTTCTGATTTAGTTTGAACTCACGTAGTCACAATAGGCCCATTGTGAAGTGGCTAAGTCACTGACAACACATGGTTATACATTTTGCTGTCAGTATGTTCATATGTTTATATGTTTTGAACCCTCTCAGACTAGTCGTCATGGACTGAACTAAAATTAAAAGGGTATCGAAATAAACGATTCTTATAAACGGATACATGTATGACAAAGACATATAGAACAACTGAAAGAAATACCATTTACACGTGGATCCTTACATAATTTTATCAATAACTGCTTATTAGTATGATATAAACTTGATTTGAGAATAGATTTTAAGGTAAAGCCTGTCTTTGATTGAGGTCATAAGGGTGTAACAGTGGGGGGTTTATAGGCGCTACCAACTGACCCGGCCGAGGGGTCTACAGGTCCTTTTCGGCTGAGCGGTTAGAGTGTCTGCCTGTGGACTGGTGCCCGGGTTTGGTCGTGGGTTCAAACCCCGGCCTGGGACCAGTGGGTTTTTACTGTTCCTCCTGTTTCTTACAAGGGCAGAGTGAATTGTAAGGATATTGGAAGGTGGAGCCTGTCCCTTTCCTTCTTCTACCATGTCCAGTCTTTTATGGGTCAGATTTTACACCCATTTTACACCTGGGTGGTGTGAGGAATGTCATCTCTTGCCAGGACTAGGAAGAACTTTATTGCACGACGATTGCACATGGTACAATGTATGGCAAACATTAAGAGAGAGTAATAACAATAAAATAAGTGTGTTGCATAAGACCTAATGTCGAATAAAACCTAACATATCTATATCATAATCATTCAAATAATAAGGGATATCACAGTTTTTGATAAAGTGTACCGTTACAATCGAGTGGGCTAATCACAAGTTTCGGCATTTTTTCTAGTAGCAAAGCATTCCTTTATATGTCTACCTATTTTTGCGTTGTGGGGACCATTACATGTAAAGATATATTCAAATCTGTCTCCAACAACGAGACTCTTAAAATCTATGGTACTTGATTCGAGAAATGTAAATAGCTTGTTACGTATAACATCATATTTGGTACATTCCATAACAAGATCTGAGAAGAGAGTTTAGAAATCATAATACACAAATTATGACTAAAACAATCTACAACTGTTTTCTGTCCCAAACAAGTCCTCTTTTTACGATTACGCGACTTGCTCCAAAGTGGCTGTTTGAAAAGCAAAACCTGCATTTTTGACATGCTCGTCAACCCCCGAACAAGCGTCGAATTCACACAGATTTTTCACTCGTCTGTGTCGGAGTGTAGGAACTAAAACAAACTTTGTGAGATTACCGATAACAACACAAAAACTTTGTCCATTATTGTGGTTATTTTTAGGCACGTGCTCCCATGCATAACGCGGCAACAAGGATTTTTCAAACTAGTTCGGTATTAGGGATGGGTCGGAATTAGGGCACCCCCCGTTACATTACATAAATGAATGGATAGACGAATGAATGAATGAATGAATGAACATCATTGTTCAACAATCATACCAAGTTACATGGTACAATGTGCAGTTAACCAACAATACTACAAAACTAATCTATCCTACAAGTAGTACAAGTCAACTACTAGTATCAATGACAGTATATAACCTTTATAATTGTTAGTTGGTAACATTTGCAAGCTTTTTTCTACTTTGCATAATTGCATTTCTCGTGTACCTGTTATGTAAAAACGACATCTTTGTTTCAAATTGTCTTAATTGTCTTAAGTGCATTTCAGTGTAATTATAAACAAACTGTGAAATACAGGTCTGCTTCCGTTCTAAGTCAACGATGAACTAAGGTTGTCTTCGGCCTAAATGGCGATATGAAATACTATCTGACCATCACATATTAAAACAAATTTCTAACGTTGGTAAATTGTATACGAAGGCACATTGTCTAACAATAATTTGCCGGTATACAATGTGACCCCACCCTACAAGTACTTGTTTGACACCCAAGTAGCATTTCCTAAAATTATTTTGCACAGTTTTAAGTATAATTTGCTAGAAAATATCTATAACCTAACAGATAGGCTGTAACCAGTAACGTTATACTTTAGAAACATTATCTAGGTCGCCCCCCTCCCCCTTCTGTTGACGATTGTTTAGACATATATACAGAGGATCTAGCCTTTAGCTCACCTGTTAAAACGCGGGATACTCTCTCCTAGACGCCAGGCCAGACGGAAACTGTACACACGAGCCACTCGGCGAATCAGACTTTGTTTATTCAGGAAATTCTGTCATTCAGAACCAGGCGGGCCAAAAAAAATGCCGGAAGCTTTGCGCGCAGAGCTGACAGGAGTAACATTAGCGCGTGGTTTGGGGACAGAGCATTCGGAAAGTGACAGGTGTTTTCGGAAGCGACACATGGCGTTTGTTATCATAAATACACCCGCTTCTAGCCACTCGGCGAATCAGACTTTGTTTATTCAGGAAATTCTGCCACTCAGAACCAGGCGGGCCAAAAAAAATGCCGGAAGTTTTGCGCGCAGAGTAACAGGAGTAACATTAGCGCGTGGTTTGGGTACAGCTCATTCGGGAAGTGACAGGTGTTTTCTGTGAAGCAACAGAGGCGACACCTGGCGTTTGAAATCATAAATGCACCCTCTTCTAGTATAGTTTTGTATAAAATTGCACTATCGGAGAAAACTACCATTAACCAACGATCTCTTGTCTGTCTGTCTGTTTGTTTGTTTGTTTGTTTGTTTGTTTCATTGTAATAATTAACAGGCCTAGGTAATAATGGCACCGTTTAATAGTTTTATGACCTCATTTTGCGCTTATAAATACAAATCCTTATTTGGTCTTCCTGACTTTTTAGTCAACATGTGAGTCACCATGTGACCAATGCAAGGTGGTCTAAATTTAGACGGCTGTCATCGTGGTAGGAAGTGAAATAGACTGTTTGTTTATATATAGTTTGACTTCTAACGTTAAAATAGGTCAAAATTGTCACTAACCTACAGTTAACACATGCGTTGTCGATACAAGAAAATTCCAAATGACCAACGGTTCTGTCCATTTTGTCCAAACATGATTGAAAATGAGCACCATTTTATAATGGATTGTACACTATACAATGATAAGCGCCTATTGCTGTTCACCTTTCTTTCCGCTTGTTCAATTGATTTCAATAAGATGCTATAGATAAATTCAACTACATTCTCAGGGGAGATAACCAATACAGTGTTCAAATAGGAAAATACATTAAAGAATGTTTCGATCTTAGAGAACACATGTTAGAGAATAGTTAGCCTTTATTGTTACATCATACATATACTCTGTACGTAAGATAACGTTATCCACACATGTGTTTAGCTTTGTTAGATCTTTAGTTAAGTTGTAGAAGACCATACAAAAGTCTCTGTACTTTTTTGTTGTGTCAATAAAGAATCATCTTTCTTGTAATGTCTCAGTGTCTTTGGGTTTCAAGGTCAGCAGATGCATATTTTAAGATAGTGTGTCAGTTTTTGAAGAATGTGAAAGACTTGACAGTGAAAGAACATTTGCCCTCTTTATTATCATGATACATGCGACTTTTGCGACTTTTTCTTGAGGTGTAGATGAAAATGTATTTTTACACACAAACATTTTGTGTACGCATACACAGACACATAACACACGCTCACAAACACACACACACACAAACACGCACGCATACACACAACAGACACGCACATGCACACAGACACACACACACACACACACATACACACACACATACACACACACACACACACACACA